TTTATTGTTTCAGATTAATAGTCACTCAACACAGTGTTGATTTATTTGCTCTCAGAGTTGTTGTGCTTGATCTCAGAGTGTCAGCATGATCATAGAATCACAGAATCGTTAGGGTTGGAAAGGACCTTAAGATCATCTAGTTCCAACCCCCTTGCCATGGGCAGGGACACCTCACACTAAACCATGCCGCCCAAGGATCTGTCCAGCCTGGCCTTGAACACTGCCAGGGATGGAGCATTCACAACCTCCCTGGGTGACCTATTCCAGTGCCTCACCACCCTAACAGTAAAGAATTTCTTCCTTATATCCAATCTAAACTTCCTGTTTAAGTTTTAACCCATTACTTGTGTGGAAGGCTGCTATGAGGTCTCCATGCAGCCTTCTCTTCTCCACCTTACTTGCAGCCAGTATTTGCTGTTTCAGCATTTATTGGCTTTGGGGCCTGGGCTAAGGTTCTCGTTTCGCTGTACTTTATGGTAATGACTTGTAATACAATAGATTCATTGATCATGAAACTGGGCTGGTATGTGTTCTTAGAGTGGTCATCAACTCTGTATTATGGGAGGCATGTAATGGGAATTTTTAACAATTAGACATCTTTTCTTTCCTTTTCTCGGGCAGTCAACCATGTAGGAGATGTTCCCTCACACCCTCTGCTCCCCTGCTAGGCTCTTTATAGTAGAAGTAGATTCTGGAAATGTTAAAGATCTTGAATGTCCTTTCAATGCCCTTGAAAGCACCCTGATCCTTTTGCTGAGAACCAGCTTGATGCTGAATATGCTGTCTGTGTTTTGCCTACGGCATGACCATCCTGAGAACGTCCAATCTTGTCCAATCTCAGAAGCTAAGCAGGGTCAGGCTTGGGTCTTGTCTAAGGTTAAAAGCCTATTTAAGAATACTACCAAGAGATCTTCCCTGAGGCTGGACAGACATGAGTGGCAGGGTGTGTAGGATTGTGTGGGCAAGTATCTAGGCCAGTTGGCCCTTCCAATGCAGAATCCGGAAAAAATAACCGAACGCTTAGATGTGGTGTGCGATACCAGGGAGAGACAGTTTGCTGCAACGTGCTGGGGCTTGGCCTACACTTACAGAGACCTGTTCTGTAAGAAGCAGGAAAAAGATGTCTCTGGATCTGATGGCAAAGCGACAGACAATGCAGCTACTCAAACCTCAAGCACAGCAGCTCCTTCAAGCGACAAGCACAACAGCTACTCAAACACTGACAGCAACAGGCAACACAGCTACTCAAACCCCAAGCACAGCAGCTACCCCTACTCCAGTGACAAGCACAACAGCTACTCAAACCGTGACAGCAACAGACAATGCAGCTACTCCAACTCCAAGTGCAGTAGCTGCCCTAACTCCAGGTACAAGCACAGCAGCTACTCAAACCCTGACAACAGACACTGCAGACACTGCAACCCCAGTGAAAGACACTACAGTCACTCCAGCTTCAGTGGAAGACACTGCAGCCTTTCCAGCCCCAGTGCCAGACACTGCATCTCAACCAAAGGATCAGTCCATGCCAGTATCAGTAGCCTCTATAAGCAAGAAGAGAAACAAATGAAAGGCACAAAACCCAGCTTGTGCAGTGAAGGAACACAAAGACTCAGTGCTCAAACTAGAGGAGTGACATCTGAAACATAGGAACTGCTACACGAATCAGAGGAGGAAAAAGAGGTAAATTCTAGATCCCTGACCTTGACTGAGCTGTGTAATCTGCCAAAAGATTTCAGCTGTCTTCCATATGACCACATTGCCACCCGATAGCTCCAGTGCTGGGACAATGGGGCCAACAGTCACGAACTAGAAGGTAGGGAAGCCAAGCAGCTGGGATCACTTGCTAGGGAAGGAGGTATCGACAAAGCAGTTGCAAAAGAGAAACAGGTCCTCGGCCTCTCAAGGTGGCTGTTGGCAGCTGTGAAGGAAAAGTAGCCCTACAAGGATGATGTTATGTATCATCCAAGCAATTGGACCACAAGAGAGAAAGGCTTCCAGTACCTGAAGGAATCAGCCATTCTAGAGATGATCTATCATAGGCCAGCTGCTGGGAATGCACCTGTAGATCCAGATGAAGTTGAATGTATACGACCCATGTGGTGGAAGTTTACACGAAATGCACCATCATCATATGCCTACTCATTGGCATCAATGGTCTGGAATGAGACAGCACCACAACAGCGGATGAACTGAGTCGTCAAATCTGAGAGTTCGAAGACAATCTCACCCCTTCCATCATTTCAGCTGTGGAAAAACTGTCCCATGAAGTCAAACAATTCAGAGACGATCTATCTGATCTATAAAACTCTCTACGTGTACCAGCCCATGTCTCAGCTATTAACAGAAGGCGCCCTATTACCTGAGAGAGAAGATATAGGAGGTACACATCCCCGGACACCCTGTGGTTTTACCTGCGGGATCATGGAGGAGACATGAGAAAGTGGGATGGAAAAACTACCTCAGTTCTGGATGAAGAGGTGCATGAATTGAAAAGGAAAACAACTCAATAATGATCCTCACAAGAAAGTTGCTGCTCCAGTCTTTGGTGAGAAGCTTTCTAGTTAGAGTGGAAGACCTGATTTCACTCTAACTCCTATGATAAGGAATATTAATCCTTTTCTACAAGAAGTGGAGAATCTTATGATCACTATTAGAGGGGCCCTGCCTCCAGCCAGGTGGAGGAGAGGGACAATCAGGTTTACTGGACTGTGTGGATCAGATGGCCTGGCACACCAGTCCCACAGAAGTATTAGGTTCTAGGAGATACTGGTGCACAGTGTACCCTGATACCATAAAGCTATCAAGGGGTGGAACCCATCTATATTTCTGGAGTGACAGGAGGATCCCAAGAGTTGACTGTACTGGAGGCTGAAATCAGCCTAATTGGGAAGGAGTGGCAAAAGCACCCTATTGTGACGGGTTCAGAGGCTCCATGCATCCTTGGCATAGACTGTCTGAGGAGATGGTACTTCAAAGACCCAGAAGGGTACCAGTGGGCTTTTGGTATAGCTGCCTTGAACATGGAGGAAGTTAAGCAGCTGTCCACCTTGCCTGGTCTCTCAGAGGATCATCCTGTTGTGGGGTTGCTGAAGGTAAAAAAACAAGCGCCAATTGTGACCACAACAGTGCACTGGCAGCAATATCGCACCAACGGAGACTCCCTGATTCCCATCCATAAACTGATCCGTAGACTGGAGAGCCAAGGAATGATCAGTAGGACCTGCTCACCCTTTAATAGCCCCATATGGCCAGTGTGAAAGTCTAACAGAGAGTGGAGACTAACAGTAGACTATCGTGGCCTGAATGAAGTCACACCACCATTGAGTGCTGCCATACCAGACATGGTAGAACTTCAGTATGAGCTGGAGTCAAAGGCAACCAAGTGGCTGGTTGATATTGCCAATGCATTTTCCTCAATTCCTTTGGCAGCAGACTGCAGGCCACAGTTTGCTTTTACTTGGAGGGGTGTCCAGTTTACTTGGAACTGACAGCCCCAGGGGTGGAAACACAGCCCTACCATTTGCCATGGACTGATCCAGACTGCACTGGAACAGGGGCAAGCTCCAGAACATTTGCAATACATTGATGACATTTCATGTTTGGGTGACGTGGTTTAGTGTGAGGTGTCCCTGCCAATGGTAGGGGGGTAGGAACTAGATGATCTTAAGGTTGTTTCCAGCCCTAACTATTCTATGATTCTATGATACAGAGGAAAAGGTTTTTGAGAAAGGGAGGAAAATAATCCGAATCCTGCTAAAAGCTGGTTTTCCCACGCAACCCTAACGCATTAGAGCACGCAGTACAGCACAGGCACTCCTGGGGCTCCTCTGCACCCTGGGAGACTTCGTCCACCTCAGGTTGCAATATCAACCATTAACTTGCCATGCTGCACAAGGGATGTGCTCATTTCTTTCTTATCTTCCAGGACTTCAGAAGCAACAGTCTCAGCAGACCATGCTCACTTCACTTAAACCGCACTCACACCCTCCCTTGGGAGAACAAGGTACAAAAAAAAGCTGTTATGGACTGTATTGTGATGGGCACAGACCCCTAAAATTTGCTGAACAGAAGTGGAACAGAGGAGCACAATTCCAGCTGCTGATAACAAGTCTACATGCCATGTTTGGCTATGGGAAAACTTAGTTCATTGACAGGGAGTCTCAGTGCAGTAGGCTGCGTGCATGATATAACCAGAGTGGTGTGTGGCTGCAGCTCCTTCATTGCTAACCTAAATGTTTTTAACCAGGCTGGAACCTCAAAAAAAGGTGAGTTTCAGAGACAGAGCGCCCTTCTTGCTTTTATGTATCCAGATGAAATGGGAACAATTCAACAACTGCTTTTTCTTGCTGGCAGGTTTTCTCTGAATTAGTAGTATAGTTGTACAGCTTGCCCAGAAAATTCAGATTCTGTAATCACACATTAGCCTGAAGAAGTTTGTGTATGCACCTCCTGCAAACAATTGCTTCACCCATTTATTACTATTTCCACAGTAGTGGGGATTTTCTTACCCTAAGACACTGTACTTAGAACAGGACCCCCCATAACAACTCCTGTCTGAGCTCTTTGACTTGGTGCACTGCTGTTTGGATTTTCCTCTTTAATTTAGCTCTCAAAATATTTCTCCCCCCAGAAATTCCAGTTTTCTCAGGAACTGTGCATTCAACATCTGTAACACCATTATGACTGTTAAGAGTGATGCCAACAATTGAAAAAATTGCATTTGCAGCATTTAAGCATTGCCTGTAGTTCCCATCTGGAACTGTCAGCTGTGGTAATATGAGTTATCCCAGACTCCTCATGAAGTGGCTGAGAAGTTTTATTCTCCAACAAAACGACTGGTTTCAAGTCATGACTGCAACAAGTGCGTGTGTGTACACATAAACACACACACACACAATATGTTTTTATTATTCTATATATTTTGTATAGATTTTATAATGTAATATATATTTTAAACTTTACATATGGTTATATATAATACATTTGCGGCTTTTATATGGTAGGCAACAGATGCTGATATACGTAAATAGTACATATTTTATGTGTGTGTTTATATTTTTGTACTATACAATACAATTTTTTATTTCTATGCAATTCCTCAGATAAGATCTCAAAGTTGAAGTGTTACGGGTTGAGAAGGAGAATTCAAGGTGTATTTGCCTGGAAGGAATCACAGCAGCCAGACCCACAAGCAAAACCTGAGAATGCACCTCTCAGTACTTGGGATCAGGAAGACTGATTTGATACACTCTACTGGAGTCCAAAACGAGCAAACTGATGGCATTCAGGGCTGTCTCCCAGATGGTGGCTCCTGGGACCAGCAGCTGCCACCTCTACTTCCAGCTTGAGCATTTCAGTGCTGGTCTGCTATTGGATGCCAGGGGGCAGCACAGTCATTCCTCCAAAATACCTTGTGTTTGGAGAGCAGCAAGTAAATGCTTTGAGAAAAAGAGATGTTAAATGACAGAAGTTCTCCAAAAGTCCATGTTTCAGTGCCTCTTCCATTTCTTTTATGTTATGCTGTCGCAGTAGCAGGATTTCCCCCTGCTTGGAGGATGGAAAGCAATAGCCATGGCAGCAGCTTCTCCTTACGCCCCTCTCCTGGGCTGCTGGTCCCTCATCTCCCTTTCTGTTACTGCTGTGAGCTGGTTTTGGTCACTTATTAGCAGAATGGCCTGGAAATGCTTCCAGCTAGAAGGAAGGCAGCAGGCTGAGGGCCAGTGACAGGGATGCTGCCAGTGTCTGGGCCACGTGAGGCTGCTCTCCCTGGTCCCCAGACATTTTAAGAGAGCCTTTTTCATTTGGTGAAGGTATGAAGTTAAAACCTAATCAGCTGCCCAGGGAATGGGGGAATTTGGCAGCAAAACAAAGAAGAGCCATCATCTGTCGGACACAGTCCAGAATTTCTCTAAGGGCCACAGAAGTACTGCTTTATTCCCACATGAGTGCTTGTGGATGGGACCTTAACTCCATGGTGGCTCCTGGCATCCCCGCCAGTGCAGGAGATGTTGCTTTGCTCCAGCTCAGACCAGCCCTTGGTGTCCGTCTGAAGCACTCAAACCTAACACTCAGTCCTTTTCTTATTGAACGAGCTGCAGCAATTAGTTTGTAGAATAAAGTGAAAAGGAGAGCTCAAGACACAAGGAACATCCCACCCGGTAAGTCACCAACACTGGCTGCAAACAGGTCTTTTTGTGCTGCTGACACACAGTGTGAGGCAAACCTGTTGCTTGAAATAGATCTGTTGGAAAAAAGAGATAAATGTGTGCTTAATAGTAGGCAGGCCAAGAGGGTGCCTGCAGGTTAAAAGGCACCTGTTTTGTGGGAACAGTTTCACAAAGCCTGGTCGAATATTCAGGAATATCTTTAATTTAGTGATGTGAGAACAAATAGTTCTGCAATCTTCTCTGATTTGGGTTTTGTTTCATAATTTTATGGCAAATGTAAATTCATTCTCCTTTTTGCCTGGTGCACTCTCTGATGTACCTGCACTTTAAAGGGAAAATCTCAGAGCCACATTTGTATTCTGTATAGATCTTGATAAATTGGCCACACTGTGTGATTTGTTTTTCAGAGTCTGGCAAAATCAGCCCTTACAGCATCAGTGAATTACATTGCAAAAATGGGGAAAATATAGCCTTCAGTGTTAATATAATCATCAACAGCACAGGTATATCAAATCAGACATAATCTTGGCTTAGCTCTCTTCTTCCTTCTGGTATCCTTTTCCTTTATTACCTTCCCATTTTCCTTTTACTATAGCTCCTTCCTGCATTTCATTTACTGTACTTTTTTTGCTGCATGAAAATGTTGAAAACCTGCCACCTTCTGTTCTTTTTGGCTTTTGCACAGTCCCAAGAAAACTAACCACTGGAAACCTCTGTAAAATGAGTGCACAGGCTCATGTAGGCACACGCAGGTAAACATACATATGCACACATCTTTTAAATCCCTCTGAACTACAGAAATCTCTACGCATAAGCTTTTCTTTAGCTACACTATTTGCACTCTGGCTGTTACAATAAACATGCTCACTAAAGGATTTTGAAGGAAACCAGAAACTAGGTCAATTCTGACCACTGTTATGGGAGAAGGGGGAGGAGGAAGGTGATACTTCATCCAGTCTCTCTGTAATGACTTCACTGGATGAAGATCTGTATCTGCTTATTTCTCCTTCTTATCCTCAGCTCCTTCACCTCCACACACTTCCCTTCAGAGCTGCTTTGGAAGAATCTCCCTCCTCAGCTTTCACTGATGCAAGGATGCTGAAGAGCTTCTGCCAGGGCACACTGGGCATCCACACTTGCACACTAACACAAGAAAACAGTGGGATGGGAAGGCTGTAACACAGCTCCAGCCCCAAAGTTTTGCTTTTGTGTTTCATGACTTTTAACCTGAGTTTTGTATTGCTGATGATCCCTATTCAACCCCAAAAAACAAACACAAGGGATGTTTCTTATGCCACTCCCCCCCCCACTCCCCCCCCCCCCCCCATCTTCTGTTATCCCAAATAAAGCACAACATTATGGATATGAGTAGCTTGCTGCTCACTGATTTTCCTACCGGTATTTCCTCTAAAGCCGCGTGAGGACTGTCCATAACTTTGGCAAGGCCTGGCTGATTCTCCAAATTCCAAGGTGTGAGAAATACTTCATTTTCTGGTCTTTAGCCACTAACAAGGGGTGTGCTACTTTCCAAGGGCTGGGTCCTCAGGTCTCAGCTTCTTTTAACTGACGACTTTGTAGTGAAGAACATGTAGGTATGTAGGTAGGATACAGTTCTGTGTTAGGTGACAGAGGTGAAAAGCAGCACCCAGGAATGAAGGCAGGATGTTTGTGGGTCATCTTTGCAGGCAGATATGGAGACGGTCAAGGTACATCTCTCAGGGCTGCCAAAAAGGAAGGAATGTCTTTATCTGTGTTTGCATGAAGAGTGTTTTCCTAAGCTCACAGCTGCATTCTTGTGTACCTTATACACATTATCTTGCTTTTATACAGTCTTGGACTGCTCTGTGTAGGGGATCCTGCCTGTCTGACTCCTTAGAGAGGGCACTTTCAGATATCTGAGTTTCAGATAGGGTTATTATTTTGTTAAGAGCACTGTAAATACAATTAAGCCAGCCTTTATTTCTACTTTAACCCCCCTGGGAGAAGGGCTATCTGCACACTGTAAAGAGGAATAGGTAAAAAGAGTAAAATAAATATCTGTAGAAGGTGTATTTTGTCTCTGTGTTCTTTTAACCTCAGAGGTGTTATGACAGAGAAGCCTATTTCTGTGTGCCAGAAATGTGTTAGCATTTCTAAATAACTGGCCCTATATCACAAAATCTTAAGGTGCTTTAGTTCCTTAGAAGTGAAGCTAGCCCTCTGCCTATTGTGAAATATGGGGAGCTTAAAAATGATTTAAAATAATCTTCCCCCTCCCTTTTAGTTGTAAGTGGAATTTAGCTGGAACACAGAATAGGGGCCCCATGTTTTCCAGATAAGATTTTGCCTTGAAGGGAGTGGGAAAGAAGAGTGCGCAGCAGTATAGCAGAAAGTCCAGAAGGCACAGAGAGGGGTCAGGCTTCTGACTGCAATAATCTTTTCAGAAAGGATGCAAGTGAGATAAGGCTTGTTCTTGGCAATAAACGGTGCTGGTCACCACAAAACATTTCACCTTGCCTTCCAGGGTCTACTGCCATGAAGCTGATGTAGCTGGGTAAAGCAAGGTGCTCATGACTAGCTCTGAACTGCCAACTGAGAACATCACTGACTATATAAAAAGCTTACCCTTAAAACATGGCTTGAGCAGCAAGCGCTGCTTTTGCTGGTGTGCTTTCTTTCAAGATGATAGACTAAACAGTGGGTTAAAAAGCTGTATAAAAACCTGGAATTCTATCCAGACAAGTTGGTTTTGGACCCAGTGGAGTAAAGGCTGTTGATGTCAGCAGGTGAGTGGTTCTCAGTATCCCATAGTGAATCCCACCAGAAGAGAATGCATGATTGAATCCAAACTGCCAGTGGGTCACCTGGTTTTACTCTTTTTCTCTTCTTTTTTAACATGCGCTTAGGCATTCAGAGCAGACTGGGATAAGTCCCTCCACTAGGATAACCCAAATAATCTTTCAAAACCCACTACCTGTACTGACTGTGGTGAAGCTCAGGTACTTAGCTCACCTACAGGCAACCTGCACTCCCCATTGTTCCAAGTACCTGTCTGGGAGGTAGCAGGGGGTCTCAGAAGGCAGGACTGGCAATTTCACAGTTCATGAAAGCTTGCTGCCATGGTGGAGCTGCCCACTGGACGGTACCAGGGCTCTGTGCGTACAGTGCTCTGGGAGGCCCACATGCTTCGCTTCAAAGGACCTGGCTATGTCCCATCACCAGGCTAAGTGGTGTTTTACTTTCTGGTGTCTCATGTTCCTCTGAGTTAGTGGATGAAGTGAAGGTTTTAGGTATAATTTGCAGATCAGAACAAGGAAAGCTTCCAGTGGCAGACAGGCACACGATGAGCTGTGGTTGTACATGGCATTTCATTTTTTTCTCCTATTCGTTTGTGAAACACTTTTTAGCATAATTGTGCCATTGTCCAAAATGTTGGAGTATCTCCATTTAACAAGTCAGGAAATTCAAAGGACAAGGGTCAGTAACAGTTCTTAGTTGCTTTTTAAAATTTGCCAATATAAAAGACTAGTTTTCCTTGATTTGATTATATGCTTCCACATCCACAGACCTGGATGTGTAAACTTTATTCTTACTCTTCTCAGCTAGTTAAAATCTTAGCTTTTGCCACTGATATGATCAAGATGCCTTTTGCTTTTTTAACTTCCTATCTTTTTCTCCCATGAAAAGGAGAAGAATGCCCTAAAGAGACAATTATGTTCATTAAAGTCCATTAAATAAAAATGGACGAGTTGGGAAAGATCAAAATATTTGAAATATATTAAATTTTGTAAGTTATGTGCATTTGTTACAGTTGATAGCAAGGAAAAAAATGGGTTTTCTTTGGGGTTTACAATGAAATTGAAAGCAAATTAAGAAAAAATAAAAATAACAAAACACAAAGGACGGTTTTGAGAGTAAGACTGTAGACAGTCTCAGGATGTTTGGGTACAATGGCAGTACCCCAAATATCCATTATGATTTAGGCCAAGTTGTTTCATTCCTCTTTTCCAGCAGTTCTTTTCTTTCACCTGGGGTGAGAGAGCCATCTGCATTTTCAGACATCTCCTCTCCTGGCCATATGCAGTCCAATGGATTTTCTCTCAGCAAGGCTCTAGTCGGTATATTTATTAAATTTGACCTACATTTCTTAAAGGTACCAAAAGCTCTGTTACTCAGAGGAAAAAAAAAAAACAACAAACAAACATTTAACCCAAAACCCAGGATGTGTTACTACAGTGGGGTGAAATATTATGTCTGTAGTACAACACAATTATTCTTTGACCTGAAAAAATACATACTCTTTTATATAGATCACTTTCGCAACCCATTTCATCCCCACATGCAGTGCTGGGTTTGTGTGTTTTTCACAAATACTAAATTTCTTTTCTTTTCTTTTCTTTTTTTTTTTTGGCACTATGTTAAGAAAATCACAGAATCAATCCTACCTAGTGGAAAAATGAAGGAGGAACCCAGAAGAAAAAACTAAGGCTGGTTGCTTTATCTGTATATATTAGGAAAACCGATATATCCATGGGTTTTTCTATTTTCATTTAGGAGCCTGGGTTGTTTTGGGGATTAAGCAGATACTCTTAGGAGCACTAAATGCAGAATGTTTAAAGAAAATGTAGACAAAAAGGACAATTTTTCATGGTAAAAGCAACTGAAGCCTAGATTAACTTTTTAATTCATGACCAGATTATGATAAAGAAAAAAAGTATCATCGTATCATCTAAATTTACATATTCGATTTACATTGAAGCTAAAGAGAAGTTATCCTGCCGTTAAGAGGAACCATTCAAATTAGACCCACACTTCATGCTGTTGAAAGCAGATTTTAAAATGTAATTTTCTGAAATGCCAGAAGTGAATCATTGCCTTTTGTGTTTATCATAATTCCCTATAACTCGACAAAAAGGATATCACCACAGTGCTTATTTGTAAAATGTGCTTTGAGAAGCTGTCCTTTGTACTCTTCTGCCAGGGAAAGGTGAAAGAGTGCATTAAGAAACTGAAATAAAAGTTCGGTCTTGTTAGCATTTAGTGAGATTAAGGGGAAAAAGCTTTTTTGGAAGCACTTCAAGCCAAAGAACAAACACTACTGCTGGTACTCAAAAGACTATGAAAACCTACAAAGTTCAAATGAAGCTAGTAAAAAGAAAGATAACATATATTCAAAATAATGCAAGTCTGTCTCCCTACATTCAGGGCTCACCAATTCCTTCTTACACATCCATTAATCTCAGACCATTTTTCCACACACTGGACTGGATTGTGGGTCAGTTGAAGGATCAATAGGTGAAAAGTAGGTGGTGAGTAAACAGAAAAGGACTTTGTCTTTAGAAAAATAATGGATGCAGAAGTTATTTTATGGTGAGTTTTCTGTGTTCTCTCTTTCATGCATATGCTGGAGAAATTTTTATTATTTTATTTTATTTTATTTATTTCAGTTCATTTTTAATTTTTTCATTTTTTTATTTCAGTTCATTTCATTTTGTTATATTTTAATGTGGCTTTGAACTGGAATATTTTCCATATTCCTAGGAATCAAAATCCCAGCCAATCTGAAAAATCTGTGATACCAGAGAACAAGCACAATGATCATTTTATATAAACTCATAGACAGTCAAATAAAGCATAAGGAATTTTAAGCCTAAAAAGTTATGTATGCATTTGCTCTTTTTTTTTTTTTTTTGTAAGAGATGGAGAGAAAAATCCTTATTTAATTACAATTATTTGTTTATATTATGGATAACAAACGCCTTTTTAAGAACACCTCTTTAAATTCAAGTATAGCATGGTCATGCAACACATTGCTATGGATCACCATTAAGTACACACATGTACCTAGCCGTACTTCACAAGGAAGCCAAAGTGTGCAAATCCAATTAAAAAAAAATTGAAAGCAAAAAAATGGCTTTTGCAAGGTCCCCTTTAAAAAAGCAATCTCTGAAAATGTTTCACTGTGAGTTCGTAGTTGGCTCTTTGTATAGCTGTACAAACAGACCAGAGTCCCCTGACAAACAAGCCAGCCTGGACAATGGAAAGCACTTCTCCTCCTCTCTGATAAAGATTGGCACAACAGTGAGATTTTGGTGTGACCCCACTGTGCAAAGTTGCCTTTCCAGTGACTTCAGGAATAGGAAACCCATGTTGGTTGTGTTGAGTTTTCAGCTGGGATATTTCTGTATGTGTTTCTCAACAAGAGGGTATTGGGGTGTTGACCTTGTGGATGTTAAAAGTTTTTTATTATTATGTTTTATTTCTCTAGATTAAAATATAAAGGATCCATTAATATTAGTTTCTTTTCCTGTTTTAGTCACTGGAACGACTCAGTGATTGCATCAGCCCTGACCTTGGACAGTAGCCATATAGACCGAGAAATGAAACTGTTTCTGAAAATGGGCAGAGCCTTAGCATGCTCCACAGTTTCTGCTGCTGTTAATTAGCTCCCCTCATTCTCTTTGTTCATGTAGGAGTGAGAAGTTCTTATTTTACCAGCTGCAAGTTTAACAAGCCTCTTCTGCTCCCTGGGGAGAGCATGAGCCCT